GGGCCCAGAGTGTTCTAGAAATCCAGACTGCAGTCTCTGGGCCCATCCACCCATCAGCTGTGGTCAAACACCCTCGGAGCAGCCTGATTCCCACCACCCTCCTCCCCCCCATGTTATTACGACGAGGTGAGCGCAGACGTCACTCCAGCTCAGACATTCCGCAGTCTCCTCCCCTGAGGGAAAACCAATACCTCCAGCCCAAATCTGCAAGAAGGCTGCAGGCGAGATGGAAGGTTCCTTCTGCGCCTGAAAGCAGCTGAGTCCTCCGGCTGGGAGGACTCTTCGGCACATTCTTCTCTGGGCAACAAAAGAAGAATCAGTGGCCACAAAATATAGCAAAAGTAAAGCCTTGTTCTTTTAGCTTTCGAATTTACATTTTTGGGAGCAGTGTGATTCTTTCAAGTCTAGCAGCGCATTAAGAGGGTCTGAACGTTTCCGTTTCGCCCTCCTCGCTTAGACCACTAGCAGCGACATAACCGTGCGGGAGCCGAGGACTCCATCGGCCGACCCGAGTTAAGTCCCGGAGGCTCCTAAGATGGCTGCGGCAGCTCCCAGGCATCTCCTCTTCCGCGACCCCGCCCACCAACGTCAACCTTCGCCCCGGAAGTGGAAGTCGGGCTGAGGTCAGAGAGCGGAACCGCTGCTGGGAGACGGCGGGATCTCTTTCGCCATGGCTGCCGGGCCGATATCCGAGCGGAACCAGGGTAACTGGAGGGGGAGAATCCGGAATGCGCTCAGCGTGGCGAGGAGTTCCCGGCTAGGGCCAGCAGTGCCTCTGCAGGGGTGGGAAGCTGAACTCCTTGGTTCCCCAGAGGGCGCGAAACCGGCCCCATGCCTGCTCGGGGCGGGGTGGCTGAGTGCTGGCTGAGGCCTGTGGATGTGATACTTTCATGTCCAATCCCCTGCTGCCTTCCCACTCAAAAAAAAAAAAAAAAATCCACCCAGAATACTAAATTAGGCTTGAGAGGATTTCCTAAGTCTTGGGAAGAAAGAGGTTTAAGGGTTAAACGTGTTTTTTTTTTTTTTTTTTTTTTTTTGCTTCTACCCTACCCTCGTCCCCAGTTCCCCTGGTTGGGTTCCATCTTCATGTTTCCATCACCTCCTTTCCTGTTATACTCTCACCATTGCCCTAACTTTCTTCCCCCTCCCTTCAGATGCCACTGTGTACGTCGGGGGCCTGGATGAGAAGGTTAGTGAACCGCTGCTGTGGGAACTGTTTCTCCAGGCTGGACCAGAAGTCAACACCCACATGCCAAAGGATAGAGTCACTGGCCAGCACCAAGGTGAGTACATGGCAAGGGGCAGATTGCTCCTGGAGGGTCCCAGCAGTATTCACAACTGTTTTGGATTGAGATGAGCGACCGAAAGATTTCTTTCTTTTAAGCCTCAGTTCAGTTTATTTCTGGAGCCATTCTCAAGTAAAGTGAGGTTGTTTCTTGTTCTTTGTGATTAGAGGGTAGGTGAGTTTTACCCCATTTTGAATCTCTTCACTTAGGTTGTTAACCTCCTCTTCTCCCTTCTCCAGGCTATGGTTTTGTGGAATTCTTGAGTGAGGAAGATGCTGACTATGCCATTAAGATCATGAACATGATCAAACTCTATGGGAAGCCAATACGGGTGAACAAGGCGTCAGCTCACAACAAAAACCTGGATGTAGGGGCCAACATTTTCATTGGCAACCTGGACCCTGAGATTGATGAGAAGTTGCTTTATGATACTTTCAGCGCCTTTGGGGTCATCTTACAAACCCCTAAGATTATGCGGGACCCTGACACAGGCAACTCCAAAGGTTATGCCTTTATTAATTTTGCTTCATTTGATGCTTCGGATGCAGCAATTGAAGCCATGAATGGGCAGTACCTCTGTAACCGCCCTATCACTGTATCTTATGCCTTCAAGAAGGACTCCAAGGGTGAGCGCCATGGCTCAGCAGCCGAACGACTTTTGGCAGCTCAGAACCCACTCTCCCAGGCTGACCACCCTCATCAGCTGTTTGCAGATGCACCTCCTCCACCCTCTGCCCCCAATCCTGTGGTATCATCACTGGGGTCTGGGCTTCCCCCACCAGGTAAGGCTTTTGGTTAAAATATGTTTGTCCTTAAGGTTGGGGGAGTTGGGCAGGGGAAGAAAAAAGAGTCTGAAAGAGGGACATGGAGTGAATGAGTGATGGGAAGTCAGTGAGTGATGGGAAGTGGTGGAGGAGAATGTTGTTGGGTATCTTTGGGAGGCTGCAGTTGTTCGACTATTCTAACATGGCTTTTGATTTTAGAGCACTGGGAGGAGGGGCCAAGAACTCACCCTGGCTGGAGAGGCCAAATATGGTCAGGTCTTTAAAGACATTTTCTCCTCACTACCATTAACTCTTCTTCCATTTCCTTTACAGGCATGCCTCCTCCTGGCTCCTTCCCACCCCCAGTGCCGCCTCCTGGAGCCCTCCCACCTGGGATACCCCCAGCCATGCCCCCACCACCTATGCCTCCTGGGGCTGCAGGACATGGCCCCCCATCGGCAGGAACCCCAGGGGCAGGACATCCTGGTCATGGACACTCACATCCTCATCCATTCCCACCAGG